GTGAAAGCCAACAATCATCTTTCCTAGACATACTTTTGACTCAAAAGATCTGAAATATTTTTGACATTTTACAACTTTTAATTAAAAAATTTGTGGCAAAGAGTTTACTCMAATTTCTAGTCCACGCTTCGACGCCATCAGGCATATATGGCTCAAGAATGAAGATATCGATTGATGTCTTCACTCTCTTGATAATGATGTCTGATGGCTTCGAAACGTCAAGAAACGTCAAGACAATTGGCGTAAACTCGTTACCACAAATTTTATATTATTTTTTTAAAAAGGCGAATTATTTAGTAGTTCGTATTTTATAACTTYTTAGGAAAAACAATTCGGCCTGATTTTACCTTCCATTACATATTTGAACCATCCACAAAAAGAGTGAAAAAAAAATATAAAATATTCTCCAACATTAATAGTTCAAATTGCTTATGATCCCCATCTCATATACACCTTATATTATCAAACAGGACGTCGAATCTTAAACATCATTCACAAGTGATTGCTTCTAATATATATTGTTTAGAAGTAATTAATCGAAATAAGTCGAGGCGATGATTACATAACTTGCAATACACGGCACATCAACACGATCATTAATTATGTTTATAAACTAACATGGGTTGGTATATTTTCATTATAAAGAGCTCGCACAGGGAGTTCCACGACCAAACAAGCTCCTCTTCTACYAGCAACCTTGAACCATCACATTTTATTTTCTCGTGATCCAGAGGGAAATCTTGAAAAATTTTCAGTATATTCAGTGGAATCTCTTRAATGTAGTTTGCGCTGCAAAGTAAATTCAAACTCGAAATGCAAAGGTTTTGCTCCAAAGAAGTTATTATGGTGCAAGAAGTCTGGACAACAAACTCTTCTAAATTAACTCTCAATGTTCCAAATGATGATGAAGCTACAGCTTCGACTTTCATACCGAGAAATATTGAGATGGAAGACAAATTCCTAGAGAAAGTAAGTTTAATTTAATTTTAGCTCAGTTTTACAGATTTTGTACACTTTAAACTATGGCTTCATTGACAAAATATATCACTGAAATTTGAACCTTGGATCTCGAAAAGGGAAATGGTTTTTCATGGCACGAAACCGGTAAATGTTAAAAAATAATATATTCTACATAATAGTGGAGTTTTTTCTTACATTGCAAAATTAAACAAATCATTACTGAAGAGCTGGCTTACTTTTAGAACATCATTTCCGGAATTCATTTTTTATATTTTATATTTGATTTTTATGAGCTCCAATATATCACTGAAATTTGTACCTTGACAAGCGAAGTGGTTTTTCATGGCACAATTAAAATTGGGCAATGTTAAAAATCAATATTTTTCTACCTAATAGTGGAGTTTTCTCATGAATGAAGAGCTGCTTTTATATTATCTGGTTTTATATTAAGTAAATTTATTTTTGGATAGTTATTTTAAAAGCCAGAATTTTTCTGGTTTCTAGGATAATATCAGATGGGATCGGAATTTGAAGTAGGAAAAATTTGCACTTTGAATGGCTTTAGCGTTGTATTATCTATTCCAGTGTCTTCTTGTTCGTTCTTTTGACCAATTTAGATCTTCTTCTTCTTCTTCTTCTTCTTCTTCTTCTTCTTCGAGTTGTATTTTTTGTTATCTTTGATCTTGTCCTTTTCCTTCATCCTCTATGTCGTCGTCGTTAAAGTTAATATTATTATCAAGCGCTCTTTTAATAAAGTACGCATACTACTTCCACCAGAACTAATTCTTACACCTCATTATTTGATAACAATAATAACATAATCATAGTCAAGTAAGGCGAAAGGTTAAAAAAAACGTACAAAAACGTATGAAAAAAAGGAAGAAATTAAATAATCAGATAAAAAATAATGTATTAAGAAATAGAAAAAAAGTTGAAGTATGTAGAAAAGATTAGAAAGAATATTCTATTTCATGTTTTTAGTTCAGTAATTTACGCGTTAAAAAATGTGTTACGTAACAACAGATTTTCCGTCATTCGAAGTTAAAATTTAAATCTAAACTAGAGAAAGAAAAAATTAAAATTGCCATGAAAATTATATATTTCTTTAATATTGCATATTTCTAATAATGAAGATGAAAAATTTTGGAAAATATATTTTTGAAACCAAAAATAAATAAATTACCCCCTTATTACGTAAGCACGACTTGTTTGATTTTTCTTCTTCTTATTTCATTCATTTCTAATCAAACATATGCCATTATGTACCCAAGGTTATTAAAAATGCTTCGTTCATTATTTAACAAACAAGTCGCCTACGTTAAAGCTCAGCTTGAGTGCTGTTTTTATTCTAATTTTTTTGTTTTTGTTTTTGTTTTTGTTTTGTTTTGCTTTTTGTTTATTATTATTATTTTTCTGGCATAGGAAACAAAACTAATGTAATTGAATTTCAATTCCAATGCAAGATTTTTTAAATTAACTATGAATAATTTTATTTGAATTATAATATTACTGCTTCAAAAGGATGTTTTTTCTGGTGCCAACAGCAGCAGCCTTATATAGAAAAAAATAAAGTCTTATATGCGGTCAAGCCACACTGCTGTAATAAACTCAAGTGTTTTCAATTCCAAAATCTCTTGATTTCAAGCGTAAAAACGAATTCAATTAAGTTTTTGATTTTCGAACTTTTGACTCTTTTACGATCCATTGGTTTAAGTAAATAATGTCAGGAGTCGATGGATTAAAGACAATAATTTACGAAGGGATGTTTAAATTCCAAAGTGCTTTGTATAAAATAAAGAAAATGTTAAAGTTTGAATAAAAATATCCCGATCTTTTAGAAATTAGAACAAAAAGAAGTAATAAAAGTGATATCATTAGGAACCCCCCACTTCCTCTTTTTCTATGCGTTTGGGTGGGCTTTTTAATGTATATTTGACATAACAAGGTCAAGCGCAATATACAGAAAGCTGGAATGCATAAAATGGAAGCTATGGATGAAGCGAGGGTTGATCTCATCCTTGAAGAATGTCGTATTAATTGTGAAGATGCTGCTTTGTTCTTACTGACCAAATGGAATTACGAAGCACAGGTATTTGTCTGTCCGTCTGTCCGTCTGTCCGTCTGTCCGTCTTATGTAAATTATCTATGATGATTTTTCTATAGATCCGTCGTTTCCTTAAAATACTTTCCTCGCGAGGAATTTGCAATTCCTTAGAAGATAAGCGTGGTCACCATGGCAACACTCCTCTACACCTAGCAGCAATAAAGGGTCACGTAACTATTGCCCAGTTTTTCGCGGTTGAATACCCTTCAATGGTGATGCGCACCAATCTCCATGGGGATCTTCCTGTAGAGACGGCTATGCAATATGGTCATGACGATGTGGCTGCTTCTCTTATAAAAAAGATGAGTCATTTGAGGTATAAACAAGACTGATTATCCCAAGAAATTGCCTCTCCACTCCCCAATCACTCTCACTTAACTGCGCATAGGCCTTTCAGCTCTGGGCTGGGAAATTCTCAAAAACCAAAGAGAGAGAAAACAAAGGCCAAGCACATGTACAAAATACTAAACGGAATGGCCCCTAACTGTCTTGTCTTTACAAGAAAACAAGACGTTACAAATTTCGACTTAAGAGACTCTAGTACCTCATTGCAGTTCCCTGTTTCCAAAACAGAGTTTGGTAAAAGAAGCTTTTCTTATGATGGAACTCTCTCGACCAGAAAATTTAAGAAATTGTAAATCACTGCCGCCACTCACATCCTATCTATCTATTTCTTAATATATTTATTTATTCCTTTAACGTATGTTACTAAGCGCTTAGAACAGACTTGCATAAGCGCTATATAAGCCATATATTATTATTATTATTATATTATCTACAAATTAATTTATCACTCAATTTACTACGTATTTTTGCAGCTTAATTAACAGTTATATTTATTATTATTATTATTATTTTGATTGATTATTAATTGGAATATAAAATTGTATTAGCTTTTCGTTGTAATATTTATCTACACGTCCCTCGTGGAAATCAGCTTCAGTTGACGGGGCAAGCGTGTTTAAATAAAGTTAACCTACCTACGTACCTACCTATCCAAGAATTATACGCATCGTTTTTTTCCTTCTGTACGCAAAATAAGTTGTCAAGCTGTACGTGTTAATACAAATTAGTTCGCAACACATACATAAGATGATTGGCATACAGAGTGAGAGCACGCGCAGTCGTTTTTTTGTTATGTCGCAAAGAATATGAAACTAAATATAACAGACCACTAGCGTGGGTAAAAGTCATTTTATGAAATGACGTTTACATGAAGTCAAGTTAAAAACACATTTAAATATATGATAATGTATTTGTTAAAGTATACTGGTTTGACTTTTTTAGCGTACAAGAGCTCTTTAGGGCATCAAAAGCGATAAAAGCAAAGAACGATTTCGTGGAGTTGGTGCGTCAATTCAAGATGAAGGTAAACTGGAAGTAAACGAACGATAAAATGAAGACACCATTTTATTCTTATCGGTCTCACTGTACGCATGAGAATGGGAGCAGATCTGACTGAGCTTTTCAGAGAACTACATCAGCGCAAAGGAGGGGAGGTTGAATTGAGAAATAAGAAAATAAGGAGCAATTTTACGCGCTTCGTAAGATGTTGCAGCTTTCCAGTCCTTAATCAACGGGCACACTCGATGTTTTATTTTTATATTGTCGTTCTATACATTGTAATAAGCAATTATTGGATGAGGTTGAGCATAATATCGTAAATTATCAAGACTGAGGCTGTGTTATCCGCCGAGGCCGTAGGCTCGAATTCAATTATTGCTTTATTATACATTTTGTATACTGGAAAAACATTACCATGAACATTAAATTATAGAGACAAGAATTATGAACGCCATGATGTCGTGCGAAAAACGCAAAATTCTTAATTCAGAAATATTTCAAGAATTTTTCATAAAATATATGAAAATAAGTTAAGGATTCCTTAAATATTTGTTTTTGTACAGAATTCTGGAAATAAATACACATAATGAATAAAAACAAAGCTACCACAGCGTGACCTTGAATGAACTTGACATGATAAATGTATTATCTGTAGGTTTTCCTAAATATAATACATTTATCATATCAAGTTCACGCGATATCAGGGATTGACTTGACTTGGATTTTACTTAGTAAAATAATAGGTGTTATTAATTGTATTTTTATGAATACATTACGTCAACTGCTTGCTACGTAGGCTCTCTCCATCGAGATGGCAAAACATTGCGCGTAAACTAAAAAGATCAATATTTATCTACCATACCAACGAATAGTTTCATACATTAGACATTTATTGAATGTTAGAAAACCATTCTCGCCATACTCGATGCTATGATTGTCCCAAAATGGCCCTACCCTACCAGCCTTCATTACCACAATACAACAGTTGGAGAGTGGCAGGACCTTGAAGACCATCCAACACACATTCAAGTCTGCTGTGATCTACTCGATGTGGATAAGAATGGACGTCCGCCAAGCCATCCAGATTACATCTACTGTCCAAAGTCGCCATTTTACTACCTCACACAACAGTGCCAGACTTTACAAAAGGTTTGGCTCATTTTCTTTTTGATTTATAAACCTCAAGTATGATGAGGCTTTTTTAACTATGTCCAAAAAAGGTTGGTAAAGTTTTTTTGGCATATGGCATGCATTCCTACCAAGCTTGAAATGTTTTCAAATTGGTATGTTAATAAATATGTCTGGCATGTCACCTGCAGACAAAGGTTAAATTAAAGACAACTTTTTATACTATAGAATTAATTATAACTGACGGAATTTTTCTTTTCACATCTTTTAGGATTTAATATTCCATCCTGTTCTCAGGCTTGTTTCGGAAAGGAAATGGGAAAAGTATGCTAGATTTTGGTTTAGGTAAATAATGATCCAAGGTCCATTCCTGTTGCTGTTGCTGTTGCCGTTGCTGCTGTTGCTGTTACTGCTGTTACTACTGTTGCTGTTGCCGTTGCTGCTGTTACTGCTGTTGCTGTTGCCGTTGCTGTTGCTTTTCCCGTACAGATGCCATTTTCATATACAAATACTAAATGTCTTTACTTATGTCTTTATTGTCTTAGGTTTCGATTCCTGAATTACTGTGTGTTCGTTTTTCTCCTGGCTATTGCCATCATGTCCTTAGTGGCAAACCCGAATAAAGTGACCTTGATTGGGGTGTTCAGTAGAAATTATGCGCAGAATATCTTCTTTACGTGGTTATTACTCATGTCATTGTGGTTCCTGCTTGACGAGATTTCTGAATTTAGAAGGTCAGTGGGTCAGTGTGTTAGAGGTCAGTAGGTCAGTAGGTCAGTGAATCAGTAGGCCAGGCAAAAAGATAGTCCAGTGAGTCGGTCATAGGATAGATACATAACTTTAATCTAAATTATATTTTCATAAGATAACTAAGCTTACGATATTTTTCTCCAGAGAGCCCAGCCAGTATATCAGAGACTGGACGAACTACTGGGACATCTCAAGAAACGTTATCCTGATCATAACAATCTTCATCAGGATCACCGAGAGTCATAACCCACTCTTCTGGTATGTTGCTGTCTTTGCAATCTTCATGAATCTTCAAATACTCATTGGTTTTTAGGTAAGGATGCCAGCGCCCATAATACAGCTTGGGCTGCCTGTGGTTAGATGGCTGAACAATAAAATCCCTTTGTTCTCGGGAATAGAGTTATTTTTCATGTAAAACGATTGTAGTGTACGTTCCTGCAATCCAACATGGCTGTCGTCACGTGTGATGGTACAAAGTATTATCATTTTTTAATTGAATCGTAAAGCTATGCTAGACCTGTACAAATTAGTCTGAGGTCAAGGAATTAGAGAAGTATTTTCCGAATGAAAAAATGTATCCGGTTTACTATTTAGATAGAAAAATATTTTTCATCCTTTGTGTTTCAGTTTCACGTCATCCTATATACGCGCGCGTTTGGTCGGGTTATTTTCAAGGACATCCCTCGCTTCACAATCGTTTTTATCATCGTCATGTTCTCATATACTTTATCAATCATTGCGTCATTAAGAATCAGTCAACCTTCTATGGATCTAGGCAAACTCTTAAGCTTCAGGTATGTTCCTTCGCTGACTCCTGAATAGAAACTTTGCCAAAATGGCGGCCGCAAATTCGAATGATATAAAATTAATAGCGTATACCCCCCGTAAATCGTGCCTCAATAAATTGGTCAATTTTCATTTCACGTTTTCTCGGCCGATATAACACCTCACATAATGAATATTCGTAGGGTTGCTAAAGTAAAGGTGCTCTTTTCAGTACTGGTATTGATTTTTCTTAATTTACCTCATTTTCAATTTACGGCTGCCATTTTGACCAAGGGTCTATTTTATCACAGATACACTTCAAAAAAAACCTACTGAGAATCTAACCCTGAAAATAACACAGGTAACTCACAGGTCAAACCCTGCAAATCAACCTCTGTCCTGATCTAATTAATGGCACTGTTTCCTTACAAAATTTGATTGGAATTTAGCTCTTGAGGAGAGAAAAGAACCTAAGAACCCAGATAAAAACTTTTGGATTTTTTTCTACTAATTCGTTTTTATTTCTTGCAGTTGTTTTGTTGTTGTTGATTTAGGGGGGTTGTCTTATTTTGTCTACCGTTAATTCTACTAAAGAACGTTTTTCCCTGCAGTGGGTTTGGTTTGACTAGTGGTGAAAATACCTGTCTAGGACAAGACCTAGCCTGTATCCTTTGGTCAACATTGAAAGTTTGGGCTCTTGGAAAGCCATTACTAGAAGATACACATGACAACATAGGGTAAGTATTACCTACCAATCAGAATGAAGTATTATCTACAAATCAGAATGAAGTATTATCTACCAATCAGAATGAAGTATTATCTACCAATCAGAATGAAGTATTAACTACCAATCAGAATGAAAAATTATCTACCAATCAGAATGAA